TGATGCAAATGTGGTATACCCATTTGTTTTTAGATTGCCAAATTTTTATTTTTTATCCGATTAAATTGAAATTTTGCACTTAACATGCTACATGTGTTGTCTTTCCATGTATCAATTTGAAAATAATATTATTCTAACAATTTAAGAGATATTTGAGAAAATATTTGAAATCCCATAAAAATTGATTTTAAAAAAAGTGCAGGTAATGTGGTATACCACATGATGTTAATGTGGTGTAGTATAATTTTCACTTCCAATTGATAACTTATATAATTTATTGTTTTTAATGAATGCGAATTAGCTCGAGATTTATGGCTGTTAAGATTTTTAACGGATACGTTGAGTGCAACTTTAATTTTTATTATATAATAATGTCTACACATGGTAATAATTAATTGTTGTATGGAGTTGTTAAAACTCATAGCCTTTGTTTTTCATCCTTGTGATTCATGGTCGACTCTCGTAGAGTACAAATGTTTCACATAGTAATGAGATTTTGTCTAGTGCTGGCCTTTTTTCATGCAGAATCAAGGTATACCACATTACCTACACTTGTGTTTACTGAAGAAATGTCTAGTTTTTTTTTCAAATTGGTGATTATGTGGTGCAATCGCGCATATTATTTGATTTTTAGTTCATACTGATTATTTTAATGCGTTAGTAATAACGATTAAAGTACATCCGTAAAACAAAAAATTATTTTTAAACTTCAACCGAAAAAAAGTCAATTTCACGAAAAATTTTATTTTTGGTACTGATTCTCAACGTGATTTAAATAAATTAAACAGGTCATTGCTATCTTATTTTTTTGAGAACAGCAAACTATAGAACATGTTTCAGTTATTCAAAAATTTTCAGTTTACAAAAAAAAGTGACTATACCACATTACCAACCTATACCACATTTGCATCACTTCCACTACGTGTCTATGCCTAAAATAAATTCTGAAGAGTTAGCTGATCCTTTATTTTATAAAGCAGATAAAATTGATATTATCCTAGGATCTGACATATGCTCAAAAATTAAAATTCCGTCTCAGTCGTTTGTCCACAATGGACTTTTCTTTCAAAATACTCACTTCGGCTGGGTTTTTTCGGGAACATGTGATAATCCATCATCTCATAAGATTCATATACATAATACCAATTTAGAGACAATATTAAGATCATTCTGGGAACAAGAAGAAGTGTCTTCAAAAAGAAATCTTACTCAGGAGGAAATAGCATGCGACAACTATTTTAAAGCTTCGACAGAAAGACAAGAAAACGGACGCTACCTCGTGAATTTGCCATTCAAATCCATATTGTCCTCAAATGAAGCTCCCAATTTACAAAATAATGCTCTGAATGCATTCAAAAGGTTGAGGCACTTAGAAATTTCATTTTCCAAGCGTTCTGAGTTTGAACATTCTTATAAAACGTTTATGAAGGAATATGAAACGTTAGGTCATATGACCAAAGTCGGTAAATATCCTGAAGATATAAGGCAAAACTCCTACTTTCTCCCTCATCATGGGGTCTTTAAAGAAGATAGTAGCACAACCAAACTTCGTGTGGTATTTGATGGCAGTAGCCACTCTCCGAATTGTAAACCTCTTAATGATGAACTAGCTCCAGGTCCTGCACTACAAAACGAAATTTCTTCGATAATTACAAAATGGCGTTTTCACAAAATCGGATTTAGTGCAGATATCGAAAAAATGTTCCGTCAAATTGACGTAAACTCTGAACATAGGCCATTTCAACAGATTTTGTGGAGGTACAATCCTTCTGATCAAATATCTATTTATGAACTCAACACTGTCACCTGTGGTACTACCAGTGCACCTTATTTAGCTATCCGTGTCCTACATAAACTGTCCGAAGACTTCCAACATGATTTCCCAAAGGCTGCCAAAGTTTTAGTAACAGATTCGTATGTCGATGACATTATATCTGGGGCTGAAACTCTTGAAGAAGCCAAAGTTTTATATAATGACTTATGCAAGCTGCTAAAGTTAGGTGGCTGCAACCTTCGAAAATGGAGCTCGAACTCTGAAAAACTACTACATGAAATTCCAGAATTATGTCGGGATCCTTCCTTGACAATTGGCTTTGACAAGGACAACGTCATAAAAACTCTTGGAGTCCAATGGAATACGCGTAGCGATTCATTATCTTTCAAAGTAAATCTGGATGAAAATCCAAATATCTCCAAAAGATCAATCCTATCTGAGTCGGCTAGATTATACGATCCCCTGGGTTGGCTTACACCCACTACATTAGTTTCAAAATCTCTATTTAAAAAACTCTGGGAGCATGTAATAGACTGGGACGAAAAATTACCGACAGAGTTGGAAGAAGCTTGGACGAGACATAGATACTCTTTGAGAGATCTAACAAAGGTCAAAATCCCCAGATGGATAAAATGGTCTCGACAGTCTCAAATTGAACTTCACTGTTTTTGTGATGCGTCTACAGAAGCTTATACCGCTGTTGTATACGCTAGAGTTTTGTCTCCTAATGTTATAACGGTATCAATATTGCAAGCAAAATCGAAGGTTTCCCCAATTAAAACAGTGACTATCCCACGATTGGAGCTTTGTGCCGCAAAATTACTAGTGCATTTAACCGATAGTGTTAAAAACTCATTAACAGACTATAACATCCAAAACATTTATTATTGGAGCGATAGTGCTACGGTCTTGAGCTGGATTAGAAAACCCCCTTCAAAGTGGTCAGTATACGTGGGTAATAGAGTAGCAGACATACAAAGATTTAGTAGTCCTCTTCAATGGAATTATGTACCATCCGCCCTTAACCCCGCTGACTGCGCGTCAAGGGGTATATCAGCTCAGGAATAATTAAATCATAAAATGTGGTGGTCTGGACCACAGTTTTTGTATAGCCACCTTCCTCCTGGCCTAAACCTCTTCCATATCTTGGTACCAATGAGGAAGAAAGGAAACCGAATATATCAATACATAATTTGATTAAAAAGGAGTATAACATTTGGCTTAATATGTATTCAGATTTGAACAGATTGTTGAGAAATATATCTTACTGTTTTCGGTTTATATTTAATATTAGAAATCCAAAAAAAAGGAAAATGGGAGGCTTAACAGCTAACGAAAAAAGAAACACTCTTCACTTTTTTGTAAAGGAAGTACAAGAAGCTGATTTTCCGCAAGAAATAAAATTTCTTTCTACAAAAAGGCCTTTAAAACAAAGTCCTTTGTTAAAACTCATGCCTTTTCTCGACGATAAGGGTATTATACGTGTTGGTGGCCGACTACAAAACTCTAGTTTGGAGTTCAACGCAATGCATCCCATTGTCTTATCAAAAAGTAATCCTCTATCTACTCTGATCATCAGAGATGCTCATGAAAGAACACTACATGGCGGCATTACTCTTACTATGTCTTATGTCAACAGATCGTTTTGGATATTATCCGGGACCCAACTGGCAAAGAATATAATTTCACGGTGCTTGAAGTGCTTTAGATATTCTGCAAAAACTTCTCAACAAATTATGGGAAATCTGCCATCTGTTCGCCTACATGCTACACGGCCATTTAAGCATAGCGGGGTTGATTATGCTGGTCCAATAATGATAAAGAATTCTACTCTTCGGTCCTCTGTGATATCCAAAGGTTACCTTTGTTTGTTTGTATGTATGGTAACCAAGGCATTACATCTGGAAGCTGTATCGGATCTCACAACAACAGCTTTTCTAGCAGCGTTCAGGCGTTTTATCTCTCGCCGAGGTGAATGTACTGACATTTACTCAGATTGTGGAACAAATTTCGTTGGTGCGTCTAAGGAACTCCGAGTTCTGCACCATAAGTCCACAAAGTCGTTGCCAGAAGAACTACGCCATATTCTAAATAAAAATGGTACCACATGGCACTTTATTCCTCCTGCCTCACCAAACTTTGGAGGACTATGGGAGGCAGGCGTAAAATCCGTCAAATATCACCTAAAACGTATTGTTGGCGATAGAGTACTAAGTTTTGAGGAACTTTCTACTTTATTATCTCAAATTGAAAGCTGTTTAAATTCGCGACCTTTATGTCCTTTGTCATCTGATCCCTCGGACTACGATGCTCTGACTCCAGCCCATTTTTTAATAGGCGAACCTACAAATTGTATCCAAGAAGAAAACCTAATGGACGTCAATGAGAACCGACTGGATAAATGGAAACGTTTGGAAAGATTGAAGCAGCACTTTTGGAAACGTTGGCATAGCGAATATCTAAATCGACTACAGTCCCGTCCAAAATGGTTGGATGAGAAGCGAAATGCCAAAATTGGTGATCTGGTGCTTATTGCAGATGAACGCTGTGGTCCAGGGCAATGGCTTCTTGGACGAATTACCGATGTTCATCCTGGAAGTGATGTAAAATTTGTTTCCTTCCAGAATGTGATTCCCAGGACGAAATCAAAGTGCTGTAATTAAATACTCATAATGTCTTATTAAAAAAAACATTCCCTCAACGTATTTTCCTGAAAGGTGGAGCCAAAGTATTTAAGCTGTGAGTCGGAGCATAGCTGAACTTAAAAGTTCGAATAACACTCCCATCGATTGGCCGCCTTTATATCAACACATCTATGAACAGTTGTTCATAAGGGGGGAGTATGTTGTGGAAATATTATTTGAAATTAAATATAAATTCATTGTATTATTATTTTTAATATATTTATAAAAATCAATTCATGTACTTATAATATTAATCAACGCTGTAACAAGTAGAAGAAAAGAATAAGTGTTACTTGCTCAGTTGTCTGGACCGCGTTACGTCGCTGCCCCAGCCGCGCCGTCTTGACTGTACTCAACAACGAGGGGTCATAAAATATTTTTTTTGTTTCTGCTTTGGGTTTATCCCCACGTAAACATCTGAGCCTCTGTTAACATAGTGTGTCACTACTATGAAACTTATTAAAAATAAGCACATCATAAATTGAGGCTCAGGTGTTTCGGGTAAATCAGCACAGCATTCAAACTCAATAATTCTTTGAGTTAAAATAGTTTGGGTTCTACACTTTTGCGCTGATACTTTTTCACTCTCTTCTGTTTTAACTCCAGATCGAACAACATCGCAGCAGCAAGTATTTCACTAACCAACCATTCTTTTCTTCTACTTCCAGCAAATTCATTTTTCTGAACATATGCAAATACAATTGGCATTTGCATTAATCAATAAATTTCTGGAAATATTCTTTAAAAGTGAATTTACTACAGTCTTTTAAATTCTCGATCTAACTTTTCTAAAATCGAGTAATTTCTTAACATAAACAAAAAACAAAAGATGATATAATTTCCAAACTTACATCCCATCGATATTTCAAGTTTTCCAATTCATTTGATATTTGTTTATCACGTTTGGTTGTGGTTGTTTCTCTTCGTGTCATCTTCGGCATGTCACACAAAATTGGTATTGAGAAATTATTACCACCCCTTAGGACAATATCCCGGCGAGCAGTTGTCATTGGGGTAGTCTGAGTTCCGCGTGATTTGGATGCAAGTTCGCCATAATTTTTAAAATAGCCCATTAAACGTTTATCCGTTTGTCGACGTAATCGTTCAATATTTTCTTCACTTTCGATAAAAATGTCAGTGTTGTGTTCGGGTTTATGTAGATTATTTACGTTCTTTGCATATGGTTTTTCAATATCATCATTATTTATATTATTGTTATTAGTGGTGCTGGTGGGTATATTGTGATCCGATCCAAATGAAACAAATTCTCGAACATGTGTTGGTTGATGGTCTTTCACATTTGGATTTAAATTGTTACCGGTTTGTGAACATTTATTATCATCACTTGGTTCCATTTCATCATTCGTGACAATTTGTAGTGGAGTTTTCATCTTTAAATCGTATTTAAGAAAGATGCAAATTAATTCCATATTAAAAACTTTTAGATGTGCAATGGAACTCGTTTCGATATCAAATAAAAATAAAAAATATTACAAAAATAATAAAAAAAATTCGGAAGGAGTTGAGTTCCACCACACACCCACCTCTATCTTCCCCATGATACTCACCACATTATCCACTCGATCATTTACGTGTTCATTTTCGATATTTTTATTTGTTGATATTTCTTCTAAACAAAATGCACACAAATTCTTGCGACAATGCATACAAACATTACGGGTATTCTGGCAAGCACGACATGTATCGGTTTTATCTAAACAACTGGGACATAGAGTATACAAACGTTCACAATTATTGCAAACCAATATTATATTTCGATCCACATGACTGTTGTAGGATGATGCTGTGGACGTATCCGCCGCCTCCGTCTCATTTATTGGCAGTGTCATGCGACTTTGACAGCGTAGACAAAAATGATGTTGATATTCCCTCAACGGCTGGTCACATATCGGACATATTTTCTCACTCAAATGAAAACATTCTTTTTCGATTTTGGGAAAATCTATATTGGCTGGCATACGACGAGATCTTTGGCGATAATTATATTCATTTTTGGCCGAATTACTAAAATATTTGTATACCTTGTTGTCATCCCAATTGGAGGAAATATTTTCTTTGTTGCGTTTTTGTTCGGCTTGTGGCGTTGGAGGTGTTACACGTTCGGGTGGTAATAGTTTTGTATCGTTTTCTAATTTTGCCAACATATGATTTCTCATATAACGATTTTGTTCGGCTTTATAGCGTAACTGGAATTTGACGATTTGCGATTTACATAAATTTGAAAGTGGTTATTGAATTTTATTTTTGAATTATAGTGTACCTCTGTTGCCTTCATTCTTTCCTTTTCCAATTGTTCTTCCAGTTTAATGGTTTTCAATTGTTCCTGTAGGCGCCGTGTTAGAATTTGTTCCTGCTCCTGCTCTTTTTCCTTGAGTAATTTAATGCTACGTCGTTTATCTTCTATCTGTTGTATAAGTTCACGTTGATAGGCCTTTTTTCTCGCTGCCTCGTCCTGCAATAACGCTATTCATTAATCGAAATCGATTCGTTCTGTAATCATCAATAAATGTGTTTTATTGTTTATTACAACAATATTCAGTAATGTCCTCTTTACAGACGTATTATTATTATTATTTATTTGCAAAGACTTGTTACCAGGCTATCTAGCCCATTAAATTAAATCTTAATAATTAAAATTAAACCTAAAAATTAAAATTAATATCCCAATTACGCAAATAAAAACATATATATGCTTCACGAAAAGTAAACCTGATTCGTACTACTATAATATCGTCCTCTCTTAAAAACACTTATTATCACTTATTAATTAAAACCGATAAAAGTATATACATATATTTAAGAGATGACAACATACAAAACATATTGATATCTTATACAACACTTACAGTTATGTAAATATTAAAAAGTATAATATGTATTATAGAGTTAAATAATGATCCAGAAGTTTTTTTATAACTTTTAGTACATAACGAAAAAGACTTTAATGAATATGGTAAACAATTATAAAGACGCACACCTCTGACATGAAATGCTTGACTTAAATAGGAGGATAGGCGTGGAATTATGATCTGTGGGTTTCTAACAGATCTTCCAAAACTGAATAATTTGCACACAAATTCAGGTTTCATACATTTTTGTGTTCTATAAAAATGTAACAGCAATCTAATATTAATATAAGTGAAAAAAGAATACCCTAAAAACTGGATAATATAGCCGGACAAGTGTTGTCGACCTTTAACAGAATATATGAACCGTACAACACTATTCAACACCCCACGTAACTTTCTCATGACAATACCTACTGTCCCAGAGTATACTTCTATGCAATACAAAATCACTGGCATAATAATAGCATAGACAACTTTAGTTTTAATATGTAATGGAAGTGATCAATTTAGATTGAAAAGCTTTCGCTTTCGGGTTTTGAAAGTTTTTTTCATGGCCACGACTCTTATATCAGATTTTTATAGCAGATCTTAATTCGGATAAATGTATATTGCAAATTAAATAAACATTTCCGGACTGTCCGGCGGAAATTTACTCCACCAAAGTAACCAGATTTTTATAACCCCCGTCATAATATTGAGGATACATTAATATTGTCATTCGGTTTGAAACTATGACAGTATAGCCATACCGGTCATTCTGCTGTATTCAGACTGTATTTCAAAAGAATTTCGATAGGGTAAATTTGTACTGCAGTAGCTTTCATATAACGATACTCTACAACTCTGCTCGTTTCCGGAATCTCCTTAGAGGATTTTGATGAAGCATCTATTTTTTTCGGGAGGAAGATCCTCTCCATCTGGAGCTCTCGATGAAAAGCGTTCTTAAATAAACATTTTCGGACTGTCCGGCGGAAATTTACTCCACCAAAGTAACCAGATTTTTATATTATTTTTTTTATATTTTTTATTTTTATAATATTGAGGATACTTTAATATTGTCATTCGGTTTGAAACTATGACAGTATAGCCATACCGGTCATCCAGCTGTATTCAGACTATATTTCAAAAGAATTTCGATAGGGTAAATTTGTACTGCAGTAGCAACAACAATCATTCGTTGGAGCCACAGCAATCTTTCTGTGCAGACTTTGCCGGTATCAACGTAGAGTCCAACTCATCATCAGTTAAGGTTAGATTTTGTAGTAGTTCCTGCGGCATTATCTCTCGGAGACATTTGTACTCGTCATAGAGCCAGTCGATGTCTTCTGCTTCTTAGCCATGGACAAGTGCATAGTATATGTTTAAAGGTTTCTAACTCTACCTCATCCCCATTAATGTCCCATTTGGAAGTGAGTGATCACTGTGGCCAGTTATGACAGTAGCGAAGTAGTTTTATGATGTAAGAACTCAGGCCAGACAGTTTTTAAAATTCTGCATCCAGGTTTTGCTGACCATCTGCTGTCGGCTTTCTCATTTTTGCCAATGAAATAATCAATAGGAGGTTGTATAGATCCCTCAATCCGTAAACTGGACGACTGCGAACCGCCTCGAGCAAGTTCTTCAGCTATTTCACTCCCATCAAGTCACTTTGTCCAGGAACCCAATAAAATTTTGCGTTCTGTCGTATATAACGTAGAGCAGCTTTAAAGTCAATGTGTAACCGGAATTTCTTGAGTAGAAAGTCACTCGGTCTATAGTCCTCAGCTTCCCAACCTCTCGATAAAGGTCACAGTTACCCCTGTCCGTAGACTTGGTGTGTACGATAAAAAGAGACAAGCCCTGAAAATCCCCTGCATCGTGACCAATATACGATCATCTGCATGCTGCAACATGGTCGTATTATACCATCTGGCTCAGGGGATTTGTATGGTGAAAGCTATTTATTGTCCATACCAGTTTTGGGAAGCTTTTGTACCTTTATTCAGCTTCTCCTCTCCTTGGTCCGAAACATATGTCGATGAGTATAGTGCAGGGATGGTCCGTTTGACGTATTTTTAGGTTTTCGACTGTCAAAAAGTTGTAAACGTCGAAAACGTCATATACTATACTAAAATGTAGTAAACGTCATTTATTTCAATATTATAACCATATATAGTTATTTTCAAGAATATATATTATTTTTACGTACATCCTTACTAATGCTGATAAAAAATTCTGAACTTTTTTGAGAAGAAAATTTTGACATTTTATATGTATTTGAGTAAAATGTGCGTAATTTTCGAATTGATTAATGGGAATTGCTATCTTGTCAAAAACCTAATTGTTTTGGGGGAGTTTCCGACGAGGGTATGTTAAAGAACCTTATTCATAGTTCACAGCTTTCTCAACATTCCCAACCGTTCTGAGATCGATATGACCAACGAATTGAAATTATAACATCAGTATTACTAATTTTAATTTACCTCAGCATATTTACGATTTGTATTCATAATTCCTGGGGGATCCAACGATGCTTCATTTGACAGACTTGTATGACGTAAATCTTGTAATAGTTTATAACGTGTAGAACCGGGACGTATGGTGTTTGCCGGCGAAAGGGCACCCTCATCATCGTTTTGCGTTCTTTTCGATAAGTCGCCATTGTCATTTTTAATGACATCAATACCGCTAGATGTTTCCGAATTATTTGACCATGATCTATTTGTAAATGGTTCTCTCTGTTGTTTACGAGGACTTCGGGAAGCTTTAAACATCTGTTTTGGAGAAAATAAAAATAAAATTTATCACACACATTTTCATATGTGCTGAATTAATAATGATATAACTTACATGTTGATGTTTTAAAAAATTTTCCTGATTTTCACGTTGTTTTTGTTGCAAATACAATTGACGTTTTTGATATTCATTATTGAAACCGGGAAAATAGGAATAAAATGTATCCGATACCCATTGATCCATGTCATCCTGCTGGTATTAATGTTGTCACAAAAAAGGGAACAAAAGACAAGACAAGAAATAAAACTAGACCTTTAGTATACACAATGACATGCGAGACCACAACAGTCATGCAATGACTTATAAACTTAACAACAATAACAAAGCTTTGTCGCATTTTACAAACTGCCTGCCTTGTGCTGCTGCTGATATTTGTAAAATGGGAGTAATGTGGGGTTAAATAAGGTTGTTTTTATTTTTTTGTAGAATTAATATTTTATTAAGTGTTAAGCAATAAACACTGTCCTCTTAACTGAGTGGAGGAAAGAAAAAAACAGAACAAAACAAAAATATAACGCCTGTTTGCGCATTACCCAGTCATATATAGTATTCAAAGGTAAATAGTATAAAAATATAACAAAAAACAAATACAAATACAATACAATTGCTTATTATCAATGCCACTTGTTTTAAATATTTGATATTCGATATCAATGACATCACTTTCAGGAAATGGTCCAGAACATACTTTTTACGACAATTTGACGATGGCACGCAATCTATGTACATACATTTGTAATAAAAATTTTCTGTCGACTTTTCTCTGAGTTCGTTTTTTAAACAATTTCCATTGAAGAACATACAAATACTATTAGGTGGAATTCAAACGCTTCCATTATTATAATTATTAACAGCCAAAACATGAACTGTCAACCAAGCATAACGCGTATATAACCATTATAGAATTTGGCGGATGCTAAAACACTGCCTAGCCCACAATATGTGCTCATTAAAACCAAATTGTTTGAATGTGGATTTTTTATTTATTACATATTTCTGTGGCAAACTATATTTTTAATGTTAACCTAAATAATTTAATGTTTAATGCGGTCGTAGAACAGCTAATTTTTACAATGTTAGAAATTTCTAGGCTGATGTTAAGGAAAAATATGTAAAACCATCAGTATATTCTTGTTGACCCTTTGTCACCATACAAGGCAACCATATGTTAGAATGGGGAATACAGCCGTTACATACAGCCAGTGTATGATCTCTGGTTTTAGTCCCCAACTCTTACCTATAGAGTTCTTGCAGTAGTAGATTGATTTTAGTCCTTTTTTAGCGCGTACCTCAACATTAGTGTGTTCCTCAATGTTAAAAGGGCACCGACTAGCAAGACTACATCATCAGCATATGCTACAACCTTTATTTTTAAAAATAATAATAAAAATCTCCCTGCTATTTCTTTCAAAAACATCCAACATTCTGATGCCAAAAAAATGTGCATTCCAGTTCTGCTGCCAATTCATTGAGCATCCATCTTCGCAGAACAGGACCAAACGAGCAGTTATCCGGAGATCTAAGAATCTTAAAAGAGACTTGCAGCCACTATCATTTACATCCAGCGAGGTAGAGGAAATTATCTCCAAATCCAAGCCATCCAAAGCCCTTGGTCCTGACGGCATATCCATGTTCATGTTAAAGAAGCTTGGAGCAAGGTTTTAGAGTCTCTTTTGCTCCCGTCCCTGAAACAGCATTTCGTTCTTGCTTCCCACCAACACGGTTTCAGCGAATCATATAGCACAACGACATCTTTGCATGAAATTACTTCCAAGATTGCGAAAGGCCTCAATCAGCGATGACCACCTGAACAGACCATTGTGGCAGCTTTAGATCTGCCCAAGGCGTTTGATACGGTCGATCATTCCGAGCTGATATCCGACATCACAAATTCCACCCTTCCGAGTGATATCAAGCGTTGGCTTGCGAACTACGTTAATGGGCGGCAGGGCTTCATTGAGTTCCGTGGCCAAAAATCCAAATATTGCATGATCCAAAATGGGAGTACCGCAAGGTGGTGTCCTATCTCCCATTTTGTTCAACATCTATCTTGCGAAACTCCTCATTCCTCCACCAGATGTTTCAGTGGTGTCGTACGCCGATGACCGTACGATTATTTCGTCCGGCGTTAACATTGACGACGAAGTGCAAGAATTTCCAACTATTTAGCCACCATCACCAACTTCTTCCGGGAGCGCAATCCAAAATTATCCACTGCAAAGTCTACTGTGTCACTTTTCACTTCCTGGACGCGAGAAGACAATCTAGAACTTGAAATTTCCGTTGAAGGTAGGCACATCCCCACCGTCCCTAATCCGAAAATCCTTGGGGTGGTCTTCGATAGCCTACTTCATTTCTCCTCGTATTCGAACTACATCAACCAGAAGGTGAATGCTAGGAATAAAGTTCTGAAAGCTTTGGTTGGCACCTCCTGTTGCCCCAGTCTGGACTTCTTTACTTAGCGACACACAAAGGAGATCCTTGCAAACAACCCAAAATAATGCACTCCGAATTGCGAGCGGCTGTGTCCAGATGACGAGCGTCGGTCACCTCCATGAGGAGACAGTTCCTGCTGGCATGCTACCTGCCGTGTCATCCTAACCATCACAAAGTGATAGCAGATCCACCTCCGCGACACATCCAGCAGGACTTTAGAGGCTATCGTGATGGCATCCAAGACGTCATTCAATCAGATAAATGGCAACAGATGCAATAAAGTCCTGCAACAACATCCTCCTGTAATTTCGGAGAGACGCTTCTTCCTAGGCACACCCGGTTAATTCTGGCACAACTAAGGTCCGGATACAGCAATGTACTCAACTCGTATGGAGAGCGCATTGTCCCCGGAGCATTAAACAGGTGCCCCTACTGCCAGCAAAGCGCTCATTACACACACCATATATTCAATTGTCCGTCCGAGACTACAAGTCTATTGCCTATAGACTTATGGCTAAAGCCAATAGAGGTGGCACAATTTCTCCGGCTACACTCTTCAAACCCGATTTCCTAATAATTAATTTATTTATTTCCCTTTTCATTCTTCCATTGCTTTTTTTCTATCAACATTTTCAGAAAAGAACTTGTTACAACAACCTTTATTTTAAGGTGGTCGAATTTCTACAGTATCTCATTTATCACCAGAAGCCATAGTAGAGGAGATAATACTCCTCCGTGATGTGTTCCTCACGGAACTCTCCCCAATGGACGAATTCTGCTTACCAGCATTCTATAAAATCCAATACGTTAGGAGAGATTGAAAGCTGCTTCGATGTCAAGGATCGCAGCCAATGTATAACCGGAGGTCTCCATGAAGAATCATTACGTCCAACCACCTCATGCAAAGTAGTATCCACTAATTTGCCTTTGATGTAGGCATGTTGGTATTTGCTAATTCTATTAGGGTTGATAGTATTTCTAAATTCAGAGTCTAGTAACCTTTCTAAATTCTTAAGTAGAAAAGAAGAGAGGCTAATAGGTCTATAGTCCTTAGGTAGCGTATGACTCGGCTTTCCAGCTTTCGGGATGAAGGTCACCGTTACCTCTATCCATAGTGTTGGTATGTACGATAAAAGCAGACAAGCCCTAAAAATGACCTGTCATCTGGGCCTGAGGACTTGTAGGTTTGAAAGCTATTTATTGCCCATACCAGTTTTGGGTAGCGTTATCCATCAACTTATCTTCCTTGGTTCGAAACGTATGCCGATGTGCACACCACACTTCGTCATTATGGTCCATACAACCAGGGAAGTGGGATGTTGTCCACGTCCCGTCGCTTCGCTTATAGATTTTGGATCTTTATAGATATTGGATCTTTAGATATTACTCTGCGGAATTTGGCCGCATCGTTTACTCCTTCGATTAACTCACTTTAACCATCCCAAGACTCACATTTAGCCTTCTTGATTTCACTCTTGTACCTGAATTGAATTGTTCTCTATAAACGTCCCAATACGTACTAAGTTTCATCTTAACAGATTTATTATATGCTTTCGTAGCAGCCTTTCTCAAGGATGCCATGTTTTGTGACCACCATACCGGCTGAGAGTTCTTTCCAGGGTATGTCTGCCGACTAGCGATTTGAGGATATTGCTTCTACTTCTCAACTTATCACCTAAAGCAGTGTCTTGGGGTAGTTTTCGGTCAGAATCAGTTCCCCATCAACCATTATATACATCGGGAGCTTATACACAATCATATGCATACATTACGATTTCTATGCACGTTCGCCTACGGAGAGCAGAATGATAACGGACGCGTTCACAGGTTACCAATATTATACTTGGGGTAGCTGTGAAAATCAATATATGTGACTTTCATGGGGGAAATCCAAACTTTCCGTGTTATAGACCTCTGCAGTTTAAAATTAATATGCTCATAACATGGACCTCTAACCCTACTTAAGCGATTTCTATTATTATTATATTTTTTTTTCGAAAATTTATGTTACGATTTCGGATCGGAATGTCATAGCAAGTGGTTATGTGTTTGAATTTCAGTCCAAAAACCGAACAAAAATCATACACCAAACACTAACTTCTCCACAGAGCTCTCGATATAAAATTGACAATGGTGTTCCCGGCTAGAGCATCCAAACATGAGGCTTTCGTGCTCTGATGGCAAGGGGTCCAACCCGTTCTAAAACAACGCAACCTGTTGCAGTGCTCATTCTGCTTTCTGATAAGTCTAAATTTTATTCAGCATTCCGTCACATCACCAAACACTTTTGACATTACAAATTAGCATCAAGACTTTGTAGTATACCTTGGCACACCGCTTGACTTGCATCCATAGGATCGCCAAAAAATTCAAATGGCGTGTTGATCCAATCGATTCAATAGAACTTAAGAGTAACTCGAAGCTTCACATGAATAAAAAGAGCGAAGAGCGTCTCACTTTTACTCACCTTTTTCACAATATGTCTAAAAAATATATATAATTCTGTATAAAAAAATTAGCTTACTTTAACCAATCGGGTCGGTTAATTGTAAACGATCCGTATGCCGTGAATATTGGGAGACGTTACAGAATATCCGATAAACAGTGACTCAAAACAAAACGTCGTATTTCTCATTGTGTTTACGAATGAGTGTGATACATAGCTGCGAAATAGATTAATGTTTAGAAAGGGACACGGGCAAAAGTGAAAATAAGCAGATAAAATTAGGGATATATAAGTCGATTTTACTTGCATTGAAAAGTCTCATTTATAAAACGGCATATACATTAGAACTTTTTACCGGGTTATAGTACGTTTACATTTTACCGGATTTCGTTAACCCAGTGGGTTTCAATTGTCAATTTCATTGTATATATGCCAAATAGATCCTCATAGAGTAGGTTAACCCAGTAAAAAGTTCTAAAGTTCTAATAATTGACAGTTGAAACCCACTGAGTTAACGAAATCCGGTTAAATGTAAACGTACTATAACCTGGCTCGATTCGTTAATCGAGGTACCAAATCCTAGTTGTTTAGACTAGTATTAATATGATATTAAAGTACATTTACGTATACGATTTTAAATCAACACGATTGACGAAATCTAGAAACACACTCCAACTGTTTATGCATATCCATGGTATTATTACAAGGTGCAGCATAGCTACCAGCTGAATACAATTCCAATTGTGGCTTGTTCATCAAATCCAAATACATATTTTATGTATGTGTGTATATTGTTTTGAATAACATGCAAATTAAGTAAATGAAATATTTTTAAATTTTAAAATTTAATTAAATGATTTTATGGCGTTCATCTGCAAGTAATTATGCTAGTCATTAATGAGGAACTCTGAGTCAGGTCCATTGTGAACATCCACGAAAAGAAAAAGATATGGAGAGATATATGGGGGGAGAAAAGAAGGGGGGATAGAGAGAGATGAGAAGCTTACAAGGAAGCGTTAGAAGGTAAGTATAAGATAGAATCGATGGCTATAGAGATCGGACAGGAAATATATTACGTGCCAAGGTTGCACTTTCCCAACCACTTTAGGGTTTTAATGATGCTGTAGATTAGAGCAGGTTCCGTTGTTGGAAGAAATTAAGACTCGGTGGAAAGTGAGAACCCACTTGTCTGTGCTGTATGTAAGCCAGGGCTGGGCAACGACACAGGAGATGCTCAATTGTCTCCGTCTTCTCCCTCTCAACACAGAGTCTACAGTAATCAGTAACATCAAGGTCCCATTTACTGGTAAAGGTCCTGATATTGCAATGATCAGTAATGATTCCTGTGTTTCAGCGTTGAAAACACTACAGTTGTTATCCAGATTGTAGGTAAGCTCAAGGCCTAGCCTTTCACTGTAGACGCTAGCGCCTGTACCTTCTTCCATCTTTGATCTGAATGTATAGAAAGCCAGACCGTCCAGAGGAGGGTTACTGCGGTTCCAGTCGTTTCTACTAGGAATAACGACATCTACAAATCTCAGGATTGGTGATATATAGTCCCTTAGTTTTACGCGTTGGTCCAATGTCATACCTGGTTCGTTCAAGATACAACCATGCCCAAAGGTATCTTATTAGTATCATGATTTCGATTATGAGTTATAATAAACACTGCCGCACGATGATTTAAGTTTGTATGATAAAGAAAATGAACCCTGATTCAGCCTTTAATCATGATAAAATGTTATATGTAAATCCGCTTTTAATGTCAAAAATGCTTAAGCACATTTGTTGTTTAATTATTAATTAAATAATAACATCGAAAAATAAAATCAAAATAAAAACCTTTGTTTTTAATTACCTTCAGCCTAATGATGGAAAGTCATATGAGGATTAAGGCCTGGCTTTGGCTTTGTACGAAATGTGAATTTATAAAAGAATATCAGCCTCAAACTTGATTTTGGGCCCCGTTCTCATCAAGGTATATTTAATAAAAAATATAAATGAAAATCTCCGAATTTCGAAAAGCTCTTTGGGCAATACTTTTATTAACATTTTCTACAAGAATTTGTGTAAAAAACTTGTCAATCTGTTTGTTTTGGCAAAATATTTTTGACATATCAAAATAGAAATTCGCCGATGCGGCTACCTTGTATATCTACCTTTTTTCTCATTTATTCTTTTACAATAAATAAAAAATGTTTCCGTAGTAAACATTTGTTCATTCATACAGGTTTCATATAACCTGCACTGACTGTAGTACGCCAAGACCCGTCAAAATTGTTGACATATGGCCAATCAGCTTTACAAACATTTACAGAAACGTATCATGGTGCGCTTTTTTATGAGGTTGACTAGTTGAGGTTAGATTTTGATTGGCTATGGCTGTAGATTCGCCTGCCCTTGCAAGTAAATAAATGAAATTAAATAAATAATAATTTATAAAATCTGCTAAATTTTGCACGAGTAGATAGAATGAACATAGATTTATACGGGACAATAGAAAGTTAAAGCTAATGTGGGCGAATTTTTAACGAAAAACTGTCTTGAAAATTTTTTCATTACTCATCCTCGGTCGTAAAATTTGCGTGTGCTTGCTTTCTCTGAAATTCAAGTGTTTTCCATCATATTCATCACATATTTGTTGTTGTTTTGGCACTTTTTTTAATGTGACTGTGTGTGTTCTTTGTTCTTTCTTTCTTTTTTCTCGTTTCGTTGTTGTCTTTTTACAGTTCGCTCTAGCGTGGGAATAGAACTGTGGGCTTCGTCTGGCTCGAAACAGCCTTACGAGCACAAGTCGAATTTACCACGAGAGGAGACGAAAAATTCTCGATCAATTTCATTCAGCCCAGATGGCCGCTATTTTGCCTATTCAAATGGACAGGAGGTTAAGGTATTGCAAACCGCCAACTGGCAATTGCAGTGCACGCTGCCACGTCCCAAGGCATTCTATTTAAAATTCTCACCGCGTGGCAATTATCTGTGTACATGGGAACTGTATGTGATTACCAAGGACATTCCCGAGGGATCGCCGAATATGTTCGTGTATGAAATAGCCACCGGCAAGCAAGTATTCAGCATTGTGCAGAAAAAACAAACTGATTGGGAACCCTCATGGTCATCGGACGAGGGCATTTTCGCTATCGTTGTGGGTGGGGAATCACTGTTCTATGATTTGTCACAGGGTGTAGAAGGCTTTAATGCTACCACCAAGAAAATCGGTGGTAGCAAAGGTGGCATACTATCGGTGGGACCCGGTAGTAGTCCACCATTTATTGCCATATATACACCGGGAGCCAAAGGTGCACCATCCATGTGCAAGTTGTACAAGTATCCGGCATTGGCACAAAATCAAACATTGGCATGCAAAAGTTTCTTCAATGCGGATCGCGTTGAAATGATGTGGAATAAACGTGGAACCGGTCTGCTATTGTTAACCAGTACCGAGGTGGACAAGACCGGCGCATCGTACTATGGTAATCAAGCTTTGCATTTCTTGAATACCAAGGGCGATTCGTGTTCGGTGCCACTGTGTAAGTATAAAAGTTTTGTTTAATTGTCGAAAAATATTGTTTAATTTATTCGGTATTTTATTTTAGCCAAGGAAGGTCCAGTGCATTGCGTCAAATGGAGTCCCAAAGCAACGGAATTTGTCGTTGTCTATGGTTATATGCCATCGAAGGCAGCTTTGTACAATTTGAAATGCGATGTTATATTCGATTTCAAGGAAGGTCCACGCAATTGTGCCTATTTCAATCCATTTGGAAATCATATCCTTTTTACAACAAAGTCTTTTTTGTCAATAATTTTTGTAGGTTCAAATAACGTTTTGAGATGAATATAAGGATATAATTTCAGTCAGAAATTATGGGTTTATATTAAGCTCATTTGATTGTGTTTGAATCTATCAAAAAATAGTTCAAATTTATGTTATATTTCTCCTTGCATTTGTATTGTGGTTTTCTCCTTAACTCCTTAGCACTAGTCGTTTTAGCTGGTTTTGGAAACTTACCTGGCAATGTGGAAATCTGGGATGTTAAAATGAAGGAAATGATAGCCAATATCAAATGTCCCGATACTACTCATTTTGAATGGAGTCCTAATGGAGAATATTTTGTAACAGCCACAACTGCTCCTAGACTACGCATAGGAAATGGGTGAGTCCAAACGGTTGAATGATTTATTTAATACAAACTTTAATTGTCGTTTCAAATAATTCAAATATTATTTATTTACCATTAACTCTTCATTGCAGCTTCAAAGTCTACCACTATTCGGGGGCCCTCATGCACGAAACAATTTGGCCTCAAGGTCAGGAGTTATTGGCCGTTGAATGGCAACAATTTGCCGAGAATACTTTTACGGAACCGATCATAACCAAGGCCAAGCAGGAGGGTATCAAATCAAGTCAACCGGAAGCCAGCAAAAAGGTGTATACACCACCACATTTGCGTGGTGGCAATAATGTTGACAAAATTATACAGCCACAAAGCACCATACCAGGTCTACCACCAGGTAAAGAACGTCAATTTTGGCAAAGAAAATACGATTTAGATAAACCAATAATGAGACCAGGCTCATGGAGGGAACATCGCAGTAACGATGATTGTAGTAGTCGACAGCAATTGTCGAATGACAATGCTGGGCGTCAACGACATACATTTAATAAAGGAACAAATCGCTATAAACCATATGGCGGTAGTGGTGGAGGTGGTGGTGATTATTCACAGCATAAGAGACGTCAATAGCATTGTTTGTTTGTGATGAGTACAAAATTAAGCAAGGCGAAAGAAAACGAATTGCAGTAACATAATTTTAAATCTTAAGTTATAAATAAAATTAGCCACAAATCATTAATTTGCCGTTTTCTTTATTTGTTTTAGGTTATTCTTCCTCACAAGCCAACAATAAGAAACAAGGTGCTCAAAAGTCACAACAACATCATCAACAACAACAACATAACAATAACCAACAACAGCAGCAGCAACAACAAAATCAGGCAAACAAGAAACGTAATAACTTTGATAGAACTAAGGCAAGAAGGGAATCCAAAGGTGAGGGAGGAGCAGGAGGAGCCGCTGGTAACAATAATCAATCGCCTCAAGTTAATTTGAATCAAAATAATGCTGGTGCTGCTGCATCATCGCCCTCAAATGGCGAGGCTACTGTTGCTCAAGGCAATCAACAACAAGATGAAAATGGACAACAGCGTCCACAAAATAAGCGCAATCCTAACAATCGTCGCCAACAGCCACATCAACAACAATATCAACAAAGACGGCAACCAAACAACAATCAGCATAACAATGCTACCAATAATGAGAAATCCCATGAGAACAATGTTTCGGAGCAACACCAAGACAAAGCAGGAAATCAGGGAGGAGGCGGAGAACAACAACAACCACAAACTGCCCAACCGCAACAACAGCCATCGAAAAAGGCTGCCAATCCGGAGAAAGACAAGAAAATCCGTAATGTTGCCAAAAAATTGTCCGATATCAAAAAGTTGAAGGTTCGCCAAGAACAGGGAGAAGTCTTGGAATTAAATCAACTCAATAAAATCGCTATGGAAGCCAAGTTTTTGGAAGAATTGAAAGCTTTGAAATTGTCTAACTAAATCGAGCTACGAGGTTAACTATGAAAATTATTCATCAAACTTAACCACACTTACGCTTCCAATATGGAGATTACAAAAAAATATTCTTTTCCCAAAAAAAAACCCTTTTTCATCCGAAAACCAATCCAAATCCGTAAAGCTTTGTTGCATGTTTGCCTGGTTTTGATATGATCCTTTTGTGTTTTTGTTACAATAGTGATTTCGATTTCGAATTTTTAATTTATCATCGTTTATATCTATCTCACCAACCTTTCCACCACTCCTATACAAACTATTGGCATTTCTTTATCAGTAGAATTTGCTCCGCGATTTTGTTTGGAAAGGAGTCCGTTTTACTTTGCCACCAAACCCATCATCATAAAACAAACAACTCTAGCAATTCTATCTTTTTATTTTTTTATATATTACATGTATATTTTTTATTTGTTATTAAAAAATACAGATTCCAAAATATTTTTTTTTATTTTTTAATACATTATATTTTTTTAATTTTATGCGCTTAAAAACAATAACCGTATTAATTAAAAACAACAACAAAAAACATCAGTCAAAAAATTACCAGAACGAAAATAATTGTGATTTATCCTAAATGAGAAAACAAAAACTATTATAAACAACAACTTTATATTTACAACAAATGCGATTAAGAAAATAAAAAGAAAACAACAAAAACAATTTCCCACAAAATTCGAAGGAACAATACGATAATAAACGATCACATTTTGCTAAAAAAAAACAACATCACATGCGTTTTTTTAACAAAACTGGTTTGTTAAATATACATACATATATAACAAAAAGAGAACTGGGTATACTCATATGGGATAAATGACTTTCATATATGAAGATATATATGTTGCAGTCAATAATTTAGAATATTCTTAATTGACAACAAATTAATTAAATATTTTAAATATTCGCTCAACCAAAAACCTTCTATATTTTTAAAGGAGAAAATTCTCAGTCATAGTAGATTCTTGCTGGTTCTGTGTGTGTCAAATATTATGCGATTTTACATGTCGAATTTCGCATTAGAAAATGGAGCATGGAGCATTTTCATTTCATACGGTCACGAAAATGTATGACTTTCTCCATAGTCCCAATTTAGATTAGGTGAGTTTACACGCGGCAAGTCTTTGTTTGTAGAAGAGAGGTTTAACGGGAACAGAAATGAAAAAAAATTGCTCTTACCAGCAATTTTCTGGCAATTCGTTTTGTGTATTTTGTTTGTAGTGTAAATTTCCACAAAAATAAAAAAGACATTTACAAAAAGTAAAAATATATATATATATTTTTTAGACCGAATTGCCTTGTATAGACCCATGAAGCAAGTTGAACAGAGAACGATAAGAATTGCCACAAGTAAACTCACCAAATCTAAATCAGGACATACTTCAAGAGACGAGCCCCCCTAAACTCAAGCCAAATATAGTCACAAAAATTTTTTAAAATTAAGTTTTGTCTAATCCAAAAACTATATTTGAATAAAAACGCTTGATCAACTAAAATAAATAAAACAACAATATAATTTCCTTTTTTTAGCATCTAATCCCATTTGGATTTTTTCTTCGTGAAAACTTCACGTCCATCTTCTTGGACCGCGGCATAATACCCCAAACTCTCATATTTCATTCGCATATATGTTATATAGCCAAAGACACCAGTTATAGCGGCAAGACCCAAGCCCATAATGATTTTATTCTAAAAAAGAAATCAAATTTAAAAATTCTAACAATACCTATAGAGTTAAATGTGTTTTTTACTACTTACTGGCCTAGTATAAAGCTCAAAATTGAGTACTCGAAAAACATTTGTGGTACGAATTTGACGTATACCATCGCCAACTGGAGGAGTCGGTTTTCCCTCTGCCTCTTTGCCACTCATTTTTTATTAAATGTTAAAATTTATCCTAATAGTTAAATTACTGTTTTTTATTTGTTTTGGTTTTAGACCTGTTATAACATAATGCTTGTTGTTGTTCGCTTTTGTAATTCGACCAAAACGTCAAATCAGCATAGTGTAGCCAACTCATATTTCCCCCCGTACCCACATGTGTGTGTAAATTATAATGTGTTGCCAATAACGATAACTATCGATAACATTGAATATTAAATGCAGGGTAATTCAGAGATGTCAATTTTGTTTTAAATGTTTGTGTGTTTCCAATGTCTATTAAACAGGTCGTGTAGAAGCTACCGGCTCTAATAGTACGTTTACATTTAACCGGATTTCGTTAACCCAGTGGGTTTCAATTATCAATTCCTTTGCATATATGTCAAATAAATCTTCATAAAGTAGGTTAACCCGATAAAAAGTTCAAATGTATATGCCGTTTAATCCCCTTTGTTAATGTTCCATTTGGATGTGAGCAATCTAATCCTGCAGTGACCTGTTATAATCCCTACAATAATTTGTTTATCTATCTCTCTTACTAAGAGACAGCAAGGTTCCAGGTTCTGTTGACCATCTATTGCCGACTACCTCACAGTAGCTCATTCGGATTTTTCCAATGAAATAGCCAATAGGAGGTTGTAGAGTTTCATCAATCGGTAAGATGGACGACTACGAACTTCTTCGGCTATTTCATTCCCTTCTATGTTGCTATGTCCAGTATCCCAACATAATCTAACTTTCTGTGGTATTTAATGCATAGCAACTTAGCAATCAATAATCGCTTTTGAGTTTATAGTAGACGACTTTAGTGCCTTAGGGGCGGCTTGACTATCGATATATATAGTCACCGGTCCTACATTATCAGCAGTAAGAGTTTTGACTATCTCAACTGCTTTCTGTCATAAAAACGCTACAGAGATCGTTATGTTTATATTAGTTATATATGGTCAATTCCTTGCAGTAAACATCTTTAGCGTCGTATATATCGACAGGCCGGTCAGAGGTAAGGAACCACTTTCCCAGGATTCCCTGCTAGGAAAATCTACTCTAATGCCATCAAAATCATTATTTGGATAACCGCTGGTCACAAATTTTTGTAAAAATTACCAGATTTGCATTCTATAGGAGGCGGTACCGCCATTATCAAATATCAGTTCCATCTAAAATCGATGAATGGTGGAAAGACAATGAGACAACTATCAACACTTCTGATTTAAGTTGTTCAAAGGTCGGAGGAATTATATTAGTTTTAATTGGCATTACTGTAGGAACAAAAAGAGAGTGGAATGGAATGGGTATTCCGAAATTGACACCGAATGGTGTCAACTTGGCAACGGCGTGCTCAAGTATTTGTTCAGTTTTTACACGGATGTTGTTATTTTTTCTGGGGGTGCAATCGGAAGTGGGAGTTCTACTAAAATTATTGCAGTTATATACATGGTATTTTGGGAAGAAATCATGACTTTTGATTAATATTGTTTAATCTTGTTTATATTTGTTGCTATCGTGGTCAGTACTTGCATCTATTTGAGTATTTTTTTTTTTTTTTGTTATGGCTGGGGAGCCAATTATATTATATTATAACATATTATATGTAATTAGGTTATATTTAGATAGTCGTTTATTTATAAGTTCTACTTGGAATGTTATGATTGTTAATACTATTTATTGGCCTTGAAGGCTTTAGTATTATGTAATGAATTGAATAAATAAATAAATATTTCCCGTTTGTAGTTGTGCGTTAAAAAATTTCAAATAAGCACATCTGCTTGTTGCATATGTTTTTTATGATAATTTTTTTTTGTTATTTACCTCAAGTTGTGCCACCTTGTATAATTGTACCTTGAATATAGTCATGGTATAATAATAGAAGGTAACAGCAAGTGTTGTTGTACAACAAACGATACAACTTTGTTTTTGTAAGTTATACTAGTGTCAACGTCATTTGACAGAAAAATGTAAACAAACAAATTATCAACAAATTATTGGTCTGATTCCGTACTGCAAGAATATACTCGATTTTACTATTTTCTTCGATATCATAAAGGAAAATTCGTTATCGTAGTAAAAAGTAGTAGATTCTTGCAGTACGGGAACAGGTCATATATTTATTTTGAAAATGAAATATTTTCGAATCCTCAAAATAAAATTGAAAAAACACGAATGAAAATCTATAAAATTGATATTTCTATCGCTTCCACATCTTTCCTATAATTGAGCCATTGCCACTTATATGTGTAACACATATGAACATGCTGGGAATTTCGAGTTATTCCATGAAAAAAAATTTGCTTCTCTAAACTTTCTCAACAGGCAGATTGAGTAAATTGAATAGGGAGGACATTTAATAAAGAACAATTTCGAATTGTATACGTTCTCAATTTTCCTGTTGGGTGATTTTTAAAAACAACTTTTCATATTCATATTGACACTAGTATTACGTTGGAATCAAATCAGCTGGGCTTTGCTGTTACCTTTTATAATTGTACCATGGAATATACTGTTCCACACATACATTTCAACTATCAAACTTTATAATAAAAAATATATGACATGAAAAAAAAAAATATTTCATATGAGCTTTGTTTACGTTTACTTTTGAAATCACAAAATAGATAACCCTGTTTATTCTAAGCACACCCCCATAGAGGGTTACCTATCCGTGACATCAGTTGACATACCGCTTGATCAATTTGACAAATTTCCTTACACTATATAGTAATTAACAAATAATTTTGCCAATGCATAGATCACAAGTATGATGCAATAATAAGGTAATGTATTAAAACAAAAACCTTTGTTTTTGTCTCGACCATCTGTCACATGGTAGCATGACAACATTGCACATCGAATTCAAGTAGAAATTTACTACCTATTTATTGTGCCATGATCACAAGCATGGATCAATTTATTTCTATTTCTGTGTCACCCACTAAAATCGATAACAATGTGGTTATCGAATCTAAGTGACTTTCCCAACATTTCAGTGGATTGATTTTCATCGTGCTCTCTCATAAAGTCAAACACACGTGTTCGGTGCAGTCGTTGGTCGTCGCTACGTGAAAAAAGAAAACGTAAAATATTAATTAATTTAATAAAAAAGTATTAAATAAATAGAAAATAAAAATGGCAGTTGATAGCCAACTAATTGACGCCATTGTGCACGAATATTTATTGAAAAAAGACAAAAGTTTGGCGCAAGTTTTTCAACACAAAACTAAAGCGGTATGTATCACCACATTCACACCAACTTAACCAGCAGCTATTCAAATTTTTCTCAAATGAAAACAATGTGGTCGGGCCGGGGTGCTGAAGAACACGCACACGTTTTACCAATGGCCGTGTGTAGTTGTTGTGTAAATGTGTTGTGTGTGGGGCACCACTGGTTGTATAGAGAAAAAAACATGTGCTGATTATTAGTTTTTTTTTTATTATTTTTGTTTTCTTTTTGGTTTTTGTAGGCTCCAGTGGGTAAGGGTTCTCCTAAATTGGAAGACATTTTGAAATACTATCAACAGAATAGTAAAACAAAAATACCCAATGTGAAAACGGCAAATGATTCCTCAGATGATAGTAGTGACGACTCCGAGGAAGAAACTCCCAAGAAAACTGTTGCTCCCGCTGTGAACAATAAGGCCGCGGCAGCGAAAAATGCTGCTTCCAGTTCAGAAGACTCCTCTGATGACAGCAGTGAGGAAGAAAAGAAGCCTGCAGCAAAACCAGTAGCCGCTACAACACCTAAAGTAAATGGTGTCGCAAAGAAGAAGGCTGAATCTTCCGATGATTCCTCTGATGACAGTGAAGATGAAAAGCCAGCAGCCAAGCCAGCCGCTAAGGCTGCCCCCGCTAAGCCTGTAGCTAAAAAAGATGAATCCGAGGATTCTTCCGATGACAGTAGCAGCGAAGATGAGAAACCAGCAGCTAAACCTGCTGCCAAACCAACACCAGCTAAAACGGTTGCTAAAAAGGCTGATTCCTCAGATGACTCTTCCGACGACAGTAGTGAAGATGAGAAACCTGCTGCTAAAACCACACCAGCTAAGCCAGCTGCTAAAGCAACACCGGCCAAACCGGCTTCCAAAAAGGCCGACTCTTCCGATGATTCATCGGATGATAGCAGTGACGACGAAAAACCAGCTGCTAAAGCCGCACCAGCCAAGGCCACCCCTGCTAAACCTGTCGCTAAGAAGGCCGAGTCTTCGGACGACTCTTCAGACGATAGCAGCGAAGAAGAAAAGCCCGCTGCTAAAGCCACACCAGCTAAGCCTGCAGCCAAAGCAACACCAGCCAAGCCAGCTGCCAAGAAGGCCGCCTCTTCGGACGATTCATCAGATGATAGTAGTGAGGACGAAAAACCAGCTGCCAAGCCAGCTGCAGCAAAACCAACACCTGCCAAGCCATTAGCAAAGAAGGCAGAATCTTCTGATGATTCTTCGGATAGCAGTGAAGATGAAAAACCAGCTGCCAAGCCAGCTGCAAAGCCTACCCCAGCTAAGGCTGCTCCCAAAAAAGCAGATTCCAGCAGCAGTGAAGATAGCTCCGACGAAGAAGAGGAAGTCAAACCTAAAGCGGCTACACCGGCTAAGAAACCCGTTGCTGCCGCCGCTGCTAAAAAAGAATCCAGCAGTGAAGATTCCTCCAGTGAGGAAGATGAAAAACCAGCTGTCAAACCCGTAGTAAACAAAACACTTGTTGCAGCTAAAAAGAAGGCTGAAAGTAGCAGTTCTGAAGATTCTTCTGATGATGAAGAACCAGCTGCTAAGAAGCCTGCTGTAGCCGTTAAACCAGCAGCCAAGACTGTTGCCAAGAAAGCTGAATCGAGTTCTGAAGAATCTTCATCCGAAGAAGAAGAGGAAAAGAAGCCAACAGCTAAACCTGCAGCCAAACCTGTTGCCAAAAAAGCTGAATCGAGTTCAGAAGACTCCGATGATTCGGATGATGAACCACCAGCTAAAAAAGCTAATGTAGCCAAGGCAGCTACACCTGCCAAGAAAGCAGCCGAGGATAGTGATGAAGATAGCTCCAGCGAAGAGGAAGAGGAAGAGAAACCTGCCGCTGCTGCGACTCCTCTAGCTAAACCCGGACAAAAGAGAAAATTCAGTGAAACCAATGGTAACGCCGAAAAGAAGGATAACAAATACAATAACTTTGTTAAAGGTGGATTCAATAATGTAAGTATTTTCGAATATTTTTTAGAGTATGTATTAAATCATATTGGAGGGATTGAGATTTGGATATCAATTTATGTAATATTTTTTGACAATTCCCAATCCCTCGACATTAAGTGTATTTGAAATCTATTTCATATCTTACTATGTTTTTATTATTCTTGAAATATTCCATAACCTATACATAGCAGTCCAAAGGATTTGCTTCAACTCCAGCCAATAATGGCAAATTTAATAAGAATCAAAAAACCCCACAGTCGGTGGATGGTCCCAAGAAAAACGAACCATTCAGAAGGGTGCGTGAAGAAGAAGTTGAAATAGATGAAAGAGTTAAAGACATGTCTTTCGAAGCTAAGGTAAGTGCCTCAATGTATTGAATGTATGATAGATGTATGGCGGTGTAAAGCAACATGCAACCAATCATGCCCCTCAAAGACATGACACGAAAAAAAGGAACAAGGAAACAGCATCACACAAACAAATTAGCTGCATATCTATGCATACTTTAATACAATTCTACATGATTTTGAGGCACTTTCATTAAAGCAGCGAAAGATTATGTTTTAAATTAAGAAAATTTGATTTTTTGATTTCTTTGCTAATTTGTGTTGTTTTCCTTCTTCCTTTTTTCATGTTCATGATTGTCGATGGTTGGATTATTAGGACGAAGATAATACAAATGGTGGCGAAGAAGGTGGTAAGGCGGCTAATGGTGGATTTAAGAAGTTTGGTGATCGCAAGTCATTTGGTGGCTTTGAAAATGGAAAAGGTGGACGTGGTGGTGGCGGTCGTGGCGGCTTCGGCGACAAGGGTGGCCGCGGCGGCGGTGGTCGTGGTGGTGGACGTGGTGGCTTTGGTGACAAAGGAGGCCGTGGAGGTTTCGGAGGTCGTGGTGGCGGACGTGGAGGTTTTGGCGACAAAGGCGGTCGGGGAGGTGGCGGCCGTGGAGGTGGACGTGGTGGTTTCGGCGGTGCAAACAAACCCTTCAACAAATCTTTTGATAATTCAGCGACGCCGAACAAAAAGATCACCTTCGATGATTAAATCATAATTGTTTAAGATAGTTCACCTTCTCACCACACACACACACCCACCTATCCCAATTTTAGTTTTTTAAGTTTTGTTTTAGTCCACCGCGCCCAACAGAGTCAACCATTTACATCGTTTCCTTGTGACCCAACAACCAATGAGGATGATAAGATTTCATGTTGCTTCTACGCCCACATTGTTTCCCCTTTGCTTGTTAAACAAAACACATTTTAAATCCTTAAAATTTTACAGAAAAATGCTGCTGGTTCCTGGGGCGACAAAGCTAATCGTGACTTAAAGTTTACACGCGGTAAAAGTTTCAAACATGAAAAAACGAAGAAGAAGCGTGGTAGTTATCGTGGAGGACAAATTGATATGGGCGTCAATTCCATTAAATTTGAGTAACGCGCTTTGTTGAGTTGAGAGTTATGTTATAATATCTTCTACAATGCTACGTACATACATATATGCACACATAAATATTTTTTTTAAATGACCATTATTTTTAGACCTTTGTGAAATACTGATTTTGACATTGAACTTTACAATTTTATTTTGACTTTCTGTGGCATTATTTTTTTGCAATGTCACACAAACAGTAGCAATTTTATTTTACCTTAAATCTTAACTGTAACTCTTCTCCATCGTCATCATCACTAGATTTATAGTGTCAATGAAATACAAAAAATATTGAAAATAAATATTTTATACTAAGCATTATATTAAATATATTTGTAAATGTATTTTAATATATATATCTAATATTATTTAGCTTTAATATGTGGAAAACAAAAATACAAATGTTTTGTAAAACAACTAAAAATTAATGGTGGTGTTATCATTTTTGTCGTGTTGTCGGTACCGACATAGTTGGGTGCGATTTAGTATTTACTATAATTGAGAGTGGATTTTATATGAGGTCATGACTCTAAAAAGTAGTATGTCGCTTTATCAGAATTTAAAATATGAAATTATTGTCTATTCGGTTGGAAAACATATCAAAAAGTCTTAGAATATCAGAAATTAGAGGATACCGTTATCGACCAAAAATTTTTAATAATTTTGAAGGATCATTACAAGGCGTGGACTTTTTAAAACATATTTTTGAGGGACCATTACAAGGCGTAGATTTTTTAAACATATTTTTAAGGGACCATCACAAGGCATACATTTTTAAAGAATATTTTTGAGGGACCTTTAAACTGGATTATGGATTATGCCTTTGTGCATATGTTTGTAACAAGCAAAGGGATGGAGGCATAACCATGGATCCTTTTGAGAGCCAGTCTATACATGACCGTCCGTCCGTCTGTTCATGTTAAATTGTAAACAAACTACAGGTCCCATTTACAATCCGATTTGGATGAAATTTGGTACAGCTCATTTATTTGGCCCAATGGTGTATCGCCATTGGTGAAAATCGGTTCAGATTTAGATATAACTACCATATATATTTGCGTCTAATTTAATGTAAATGGTGCAACAAAAAATTCCCTATATATCTTTCGATTTGCACGAAATTGCGTATATCTAACTGAATTAAGTCTAGAATGATGTGTGCTAATGGTGTTTTTACACGATATTTATATTTTACATATGTGCTGTCACTTTTTTGCATATGGAAATCGAACTCGTCATGTTTGAATGAAACACATTGTTGGAAGAAAATATTTCAATTGCAAGTCAAAGAAAAGGATGAAAAGGCAACATTTACAAATTATTATTTCGTTTGTAGGTGTTTAATAAAAAAAGATGTTGATTTAAGAAAAAATAAAAGTGATTTTTTTTTTGTTTATAGGTTATGTCATATGTAAAATACATATGCCGATTTTAACACAAAAATAAATGTTTTGTGTACGCCGCTAATTTTGACACACATAAGGAATTACATATGGATGAAATAAGTGACAGCACATATGTAAAATACATATCGTGTAAAAACACCATAAGTTTCGTGAAAATCGGTTCAGATTTAGATATATCTCCAATATATAGTTTCGCCCGATTTTAGATAAATGTTGTCCTTCGATTTGCATGAATTTTGAATTAAGTCTAAAATGATGAGTGATAAGTTTCGTGAAAATCGGTTCAGATATACATATACCTCCTATATATATTTTCGTCCGATTTTAAATAATGGCCGATAGACACAACGTACTGAAGTTAATGTAAACTAATCTCTGGCAAGTTTCCTTGAAATCGGTTCAGATTTAGATATAGCATAGCTTCCATATATGATTTCGACCTATTCATGTTGATTGTAAACCAAATAATCAATAGGTATCTGATTGATATTAAATTTTTAACAGTGCAGCCGATTTACAAAATTTAGCATAGTTTGCAGAATGACATGTGTAGGGATTGGATAAAGATCACATATTTAAGTTCGTTTAATTTCACGATAATGGTCCTTCGAAAATGCGACGTCTTTAGGATGTATTTCTTGAATATACCCAAAGTGGTGAGAGGTATCCTGTCCGACTTTCCTTACTGGTTTAATAATATTTTTACAAAAATCGGACAAACATTGGATTTGTGCACAATTCGGATGAAATCGGGAGCTGTATCTACATCTGTATCGATTCTCACAGAAATCAAAGGCCTACTTTTGTCAAATTAAATGAGCTGCGCCAAATCTGTTAATTACAAAAAACACTTAGACATAACGAAAGAAGAGCGGACATTCGTAAATCCACTCAAAATGTGTTTCCTAGGTATATTCTCAAAATAAACTACGGATCAGCTTATATCCTTCTGTACAGAGATGGTCTGGGTGACGTAGGGGATAAAAAAATAAAAATAACGAAGCGCCGTTGCATCTGTATGTTACATGCAAATATATATGTTAGTGTTTTTTATTACAACAATGTGCGTCATCTAGTGATATTTGGCTGACATACAAATGAGAATAATTATCAGACTTGCATACTTTTGGGCTGTAGAAAGATTGGGGTATTTAAATTGTCGCATTTTAGTTGTTGTTATTGTTGTGACAGACGTTGGCCGAGTAAAACTCGCTTGTTTCGGATCGTAGACCCCTCTGTAGCGAAATAAATAGTTATGTTTATGATTTTTCGACCTTTCGAATGTTTAATAAATTAGAGATGGTTCATCGACCTCAAGCTCGATGAACCATCTCTAATTTATGAAATAAATAGTTTTTAATAAATACTCCATGACCTATTCATTTTTAATAGAGTATATTCGATTGCAAGTATTTATCACAACAGCTTTAGTAATAAAATATTTCGAATTCTTCAAATTTATGGGTCGATTACGGTTGGCAACCATAGTTTAGTTGCGTTGCCAGTTGCAAAATTTCAGGGACCGTAACGGTTATAACTTATATCAAATCAGGTAAAAAATAACTGTTATTATGTGACCTAAATAAAAAAAATCCACTTTAATTATTTATTTTTTAACGGAAAAAATAAACGTTGATTTTTAACTGTTAAAAATGATTTTTATTTTTTCCGTCAAAAATAAAAGTCTTTTTGGGATTTTTATTTTTTCCGTCAAAAATAAAAGTATTTTTGGTACTTTTATTTTTTCCGTCAAAAATAAAAGTCTTTTTGTGATTTTTATTTTTTCCGTCAGGAAATAAAAGTCTTTTTACGTAAATAAACATATAGAGTTTGGTACCAGTTATATAACCTTTGACCTAATAGTCAGGGTAATGATTCTTTAATTTATATTCATGATTTGGTACACTAGACTATTTTTTAAAAATTTATAACAAATATTTTTTACCTTTGATCTTGATTACTTGTGTATGTGTACCGGTTGTTAGAAATTCAATATTCTGACTAAATTGTTCTTTGTTAGGTTTAAGTCAACAAAAAAATGAATATAATAAATGTCACTTATTGTAATAAGGACAGAGATTTATAAATTGTAATTTTATAACTGATTACAAGTTGTATAAACTTCTTTATATAAAAAGAGTTTTATTTCCTGACGGAAAAAATAAAAATCCCAAAAAGACTTTTATTTTTGACGGAAAAAATAAAAGTCCCAAAAAAACTGTTATTTTTGACGGAAAAAATAAAAGTCCCAAAAAGACTTTTATTTTTGACGGAAAAAATAAAAATCATTTTTAACAGTTAAAAATCAACGTTTATTTTTTCCGTTAAAAATAATCCTTAACATGGGAACTGAGAGTGTTTTCTCAAGATCACTCAATATCCTTAATGGGCTCCTCAACACGAATCTGTTGGTATATGACACTATTGGTGTCCCATGTCTCTAACATGAAGATTTTTTTGTTCGCATTTTAAAAAATAACTGTTATTTTCGGTCCCTGCAAAATTTACATTATGGATGGCAACTGTTTTCAACTTCAGTTGCTTCAAATATAATTTTTCGGCAACCATTTATTTCTGGTTGCTGTTTATAATAACTGAACTTTTTAGGCTTCCCATAATGGTTAATATTACTACAAAAGAACAATTTGAAGTCCTTATTGCCCGGATGGAAGCTCACCCAAATGTAGCACGCGGCATGCGGACTTTTGTGTCAAACCAAAGCCACTATCGATGATGTGTGGAAGCCATTTCAGAAGACCTTAACTGCTATGGCCCACCAACACGCATTCCAAATGAATGGCAGAAAGTGGCGAACATCTTCTTTTGGGTCCATGATATGTACGTGTGCATAATCAATACATCCGACAACACCCTGGAACTTTGTTTCGCCGAAACTTCGGCGAAAACCACTGACATTGTCGGTTTAGCCATGCCAAGGTTGAAGTCACTGCTATGGGACTTTTGAAAACTTCCCTCCACAAAAACATCAGAGCTGCACACATTTTTAAGAGAGGAAGAATTGCTGTTGACCGCCAGGATTTTCCGAAATCAGGGTTTAAGGCTTCATCTATGTACACAACGGCATCTTTTGGTAGTCGAAAATACGCCTTCAAGCTAATATGAGCAGTTGATTGAACATTTTTCTAAACGTCAACATCTATTCACAGAACTGATGGTAGTTAGTGCAGCTGATGTCTTGATTAAATGTCA